GGGGCAATATGCTGACTCTGTAAACCGCTTAGAGAGGCCTGAAAGGCCTATGAAGCGGTATATAAGTCTACTGCTATTGCTATTGCTATTGCTATCTTCAGACACAAATAAGAAGGGGAGCCTCTCTTTTGTAGCTGCTCATAGCATCAGGACACCTAGCTTTGAATTGTGACTGATGGCTTTTGATAGATCTCTGCTCTCCCAGTTGTCTCATATCCTTTGAAAGCCACTGAAGATACAGTCCTGTTGCCTCTTAGGCAAACCTCAGGACCTGGATGATTCTGACGGATCTCCAGTGTGGCATAAGGACCAGTACACACTCCAGAACCCACCACGCTCCTGCCTTTTCATAGATGGATTAAAAAATCTCTTAAATGTGTGAAAAAAGGTTGTGGAATGTATCACAACCATCAATATTCAATGTACTACAAACAGGTATTTGGAAAGCAGAGCTAAGAAACAGCAATTTCACTTTGGCAACTTAGCTGGGAAAATGTTTTATTAATCAGAAGAAAAGTATTTGTGTTTATTACGGGTGTTGATAGGAAATGTCTTTTAAGATCAAATCTAAGACATTAGCAAATCCAACACTCTCTGAGTTCTTTTTTTAGAATAGAATACAACAACAGAGTTGGAAGGGGCCTTGGAGGTCCTCCAGTCCAACCCCCTGCTTAGGCAGAAAACCCTACACCACTTCAGACAAATGGTTACCCAACACCTTACTAAAAACTTCCAGTGTTGGAGCATTCACAACTTCTGGAGGCAAGTTGTTCCACTGATTATTATTATTTTTGAAATGTCAGGAAATTTCTCCTCAGTTCTAAGTTGCATCTTTTCTTGATTAGTTTCTACCCATTGCTTCTTATTCTACCCTCAGATGCTTTGGAGAATAGCTTCCCTCCCTCTTCTTTGTGGCAGCCCCTGAGATATTGGAACGCTGCCATCATGTCTGCCCTAGTCCTTCCTTTCATTAAACTAGACATACCCAGTTCCTGCAACCGTTCTTCATATGTTTTAGTCTCCAGTCCCCTAATCATCTTTGTTGCCCTTCTCTGCACTCTTTCTTGAGTCTCCACCACTGCTCCCTGTAAGGTGAAGTAAGAAAA